CGTTTTGGCTGGGGGGTGGTGGCAAGAATTGGCGGCAGTCCGTCTGTAATATCCCAAAATTTTGGGGTATTTTAGCATTAAATTGGGGACTTATTTGAGGAAAAATATTATTGAGGGGCTTAATAGTCAAATTTTTAAAAGTTGAGGGACTAAAAAAAAAGGAAATTAGGATAAGGATCAAGGCTGATATTTCTCTCCTCAGCCACGTGTTTTGCTCTTCCTCATCTTCTTCGCCTTCTCGACTCTTCCTCCTGACAGCCCCCTCCAAGCCCCCTCTAGCCACCAACTCATTTCTTTGAGAAAATTGGTGACCGAACTTGGGATTTTCTGCTTCTTTTCTTGATAAGTAACGAGATTTGGGGCTTAGAATCTTCCCTCTCAACCCAGAAATCCCGGATCTGCTCTGCTTCTTCCTCCCTTGTCCGTCGGGTTCTGCTGGGTTTGAATCCTTCGGTTTTTTTTCTGGTAAGAAGCAGCCTTGAATTCATCCTTTCTCTCTCTTCATTTGGCTTGGGTTACGCTAATTTTGTTATTGGTTCTTGAATTTCTGGAGTTTGCCGTGAGTTTCCCCCTGGATCCCGTCGGCTTCCTCACCAGCCAAGCTCGGGTTCTGCTGGCTGGAATTCTGGTAAGTTGCCGGCTTTTCCAAGCTTAAAATTACCCATTTAAGTGTTGGGTTTTGTCCATTAAGTGCTGCCCTGTGCTTGCCCGAATTTTGCTAAAATGGGGGAGGAAATTCCGGTAGCATTTAAATGTGTTTTGTGCTTGGTTTATGTAGGAATTTTGTTAATTGGGCTGTGGTTATGTTGTGTAGGAGTAATCTCGTGACTTAGCCATTGTTGGCCAAAGCCGTGGGTCTCCAGTGCTTGTCCAGGAAATTGGAATGAATTTTGGTAGCTTTAAGCTATGTTTTTAAGTGTGGTTTAAGTAGGAAATTAGCTTGTTATGATTGTTGTGAGATTTTGGAGAGAAACCCCCGTGAATTAGCTATGTTTTGTCAAATTTTGGGAGGTGAGGTACTGTTCACATGGACTGTTCACGGGTACTGTTTATAGGTACTGTTCACACACCGAGGGTTAACGATTAACGGGGATTTAAATGATTAGTTTGTGATATAAGAATGAAATTGGAGATGTTCGGTTATGTGGAGATTGATAGAAATAGCGCTGTGATTGGGGGTAGTGTTGATGATGATTTCAGTTTGAAATTATGGTAGTGCGATATTAATTCTTGGAATATTGTGATTAGATTTTGATCGTTCTGTCACCGTAGCACTTGGGTTAGCCTTCTGTTCTGTGCGAGTGAGGTAAGTAAATTATGGTAAAGCCCTTTGATTTTAAAGCATGTTTTAAACTGTTTTTGAGATGGTGGCAAGGTTTAAATTGATTTGAAATTGATTTTCATCAGCATCTGAGTGTGATTAAACTGAAATGAAAATTTAGATGATTTTCATGAGAATTTCCTTGTTTTCTGAAATTGAGCATGATTGGAATGAAAATGAGGATTTTATTGATTTTCTGGAAATGAGCATGATTGAGAAATGAAAACGAGAATTTCATTGTTTTTCTGGAATAGAGCATGCCTATTTGGGAATTGACAGAACTGTTTTGATGAACTAAGAGTTTGCAAATTCTGAGTTTTCTGTTAAATCCATGGTCATATGGAAATTTTCTGGTTTGTTTCTGAGATTTGAGATTGATTGTGAATTATGGATTTTTGGAAATCCTGCATGGTTTTGTCTCGGATATAGTCATGATTACTGACGCTCGCTAGTGGGAGCTGTAAACGCTAGCACATGTCGACATGTATTTCTGTAGAACCGGTTCGTCCTGCCAATGGGATAAAACATTGGCACCATTACTGACGCCTACCAGTGGGAGTGTGTAAACACTGGCACTATTACTGACGCCTGCCAGTGGGAGTGTGTTAAACACTGGCACTATTACTGACGCTTGCCAGTGGGAGTTTGTAAACACTGGCCATGACTTATAGATGAGACTACTGAATTGAGTTTTCTTCTGCATTAACGGTTTGTTATGAATGCTTTGCAATTAAACTGTTTATCTGGCATGCTTAAAAGTTTTACCCAAGGGCTATCCATATTTACTTACTGAGTTATCTCATAGTTTTCCTTGTCCACCATTTCAGGAAACGAAACCGAGGACGGGAAACCAAGGGGGGAGTGACGAGTTAGAAGGCTAGCCACTTGGAATTTGATACAGATTATGGTCCTGTAAGCTAGAGTGTATTTGGAGATTTTATGATATCATAGCAGATTGTAAAAAATTTTATCTTGAGATTTGGTGGTATCAGATTGTGAATTGGATAAGTTCCGAGCCTTGTGCATTTGTGGGACCCTCTCACGAGTGCACGGCGTCTGTCGCGCCTCAGATTTGGGTTCTGGGGCGTGACACCGTCGGAACCAGCAAGAGAGCCGCGGTGGGCGTCAGATCTGGCAGCCCTCTCGCGCGTCGCCACAGATCCACCGGAGGAGAAAGAAGGCCGCCGGATCTGCACCGAACAGAGCAAGAAAAAGCAAACAAACAAAGCATATAAGCAAACAAACCAAAAAAACCCACACAAAACAAAAAACAAAACCAGATCAGCAAAGGGATGGTGAAGATCCGAGGTGAAAGAACGGAGGTGATGGTGGCGATGGTGGATCTGCAGAAGGGAGAAAAATCAAGTTTTTTTTTTCTGTTTTCTCCTCTTTTTTTTTTTTTCGGGTTTGGCAGCCGCACCTTGCCACCTCCTCCTTCTCCTTTTAAAAGAGAGGGAACTAGGGTTTTGTTACATTTGGGGATGGGCTGCTCAATATTGGGCTGGGCTTATGAGTTTGTTTTTGTAAATTTCATCCTCAGCTTTTTAATTTTTTCAATTGAGTC